AACAAAATTTCAAAACCCAATGTTCTCTAAGATATGGTATCACTGGAGTTTGAATAATGAAAGTGTAAACAAAGAGCCAACCACTGCTCTTTGTGACCTCACAAATCAGACCACGAATCAAAACCTCAGCTGTCTGCAGCCTGCCATACCTGCTTGTACTTCTTGGCTCTCAACAGCAAGCTCTGTCCACAGCCTTTGATACATGCTTGTACATGCTTGTACCCCATGACTCCCAACAGCGAGCTCTGTCTGCAGCCTGCCATACATGCTTGTACATGCTTGTACCCCATGACTCCCAACAGCGAGCTCTGTCCGCAGCCTGCCATACACGCTTGTACATGCTTGTACCTCTTGGCTCTCAATAGCAAGCTCTGTCCGCAGCCTTCGATACATGCTTGTACCCCATGACTCCCCACAGTGAGCTCTGTCTGCAGCCTGCCATACATGCTGTACCCCCATGGTTCCCAACAGTGAGTTCTGACTCCGGGGGTAAAGATGATCTTGTGACTACAAACCTTGGTTGGCATTGGACTTAGAAATTCTATGACACTGACCCTGTATGCTCCCCCACCCCATGCCATTCACACCATTGGGGCTTTTTATCTAACCCACAAACACTGCTCCAACAATGGCAATGTAATAGTGGCTTCAGTGATCACAAAGCTGGATCCAGAAATAGTCATTAGTACTATATTTGCATATACTACAGGGAGATTAAGAGGGCTTTATCTTCACAAGATCTTACTTACCAACTAATTAGGATAGCAATTTATTATGAGTATGAAGATAACGAACTTAGATTTATTAATGGCGTGGAGCTCTTCTGCTTGTAGAGAAAAACAAAGACATTGCCTCGTGCTTCACGGGCCTCAGTACAGATGCCCGCGCCAGTCATTGTTACTAATTTCACATTTCACTTGCTCTTTATTGTCTAGACATCTGAGTTCTTTTTACAGATAGACTCGCTGTGCACCAGAAGCAGTTGTTAAGTAAGCACTCAACTCCAACAGCTTTGCTCTCAGTGCTTGCTACAGCGGCAGCTGGGTAAGCCTTTGCTGCGTTCTCCTTCTTCCTCCTACCAGAATAAGTGCTCTCGTAACACATGTCAACCGCACAATTCTCCTCATGCTTAACAAATGTGAGCCTCCACCAAGGAACAGCAGTAAAATCTTGCTTCTTCCGTATTGGGAGGTGGAGGGGTGGGGGCGCGATTCTTACTACAGTTTCCTTCACCCATTATTAGTCAGTGTTGTGTCACATCTTAGTGAATTAAATGAGAAAATAAAGTCTAATTCCTAGTATGATTAGTTGACTCTTAGATGAATAAAAAGAGAGAACTAAACAAAACCATTTAACTTTAAAATATAATGTTCACAAAGAACAAAGAGCTAACTAGGCATCCCTACCTCAAGCATTTTCAAAGAGAACTCTGCTGCCTTTTTGCATTAAAAACAAAACAAAAAAAGTGAAAGAAAGTCTGTTGTCTTGAGATAAAAGGGCCACAAACTTCCACGACTTATTCTCTGCTTACTAATGACATAAAAATATTTTTCTTTTTTAGTTCACATTCTGGAAAAAAATTCTCTTAACAGAAAATGTTTTGAACTAGGTTTTGAGAGGCAAACTCCACAATTTTCAGAAGACAGAAGAGTGAAGAGAAGTAAACAAGACACAAACACAAACATCAAAGCCCACCTACAACAGATCAACTCCAAATGCTGAGAGCCTCTCTAGTGTGCTCAGCAACTTCACATCTCAAATTTACACTGTGACAAACACTTGATAAAGAGCACCTTGGCCTGCTGTACTCATGACTAGCCGTACTCATGACTAGCCGTACTCATGACTAGCTCCTGACTAGCTGTACTCCTGACTAGCTGTACTCATGACTAGCTCCTGACTATCCGTACTCATGACTAGCCGTACTCATGACTAGCTCCTGACTAGCTGTACTCCTGACTAGCTGTACTCCTGACTAGCTGTACTCCTGACTAGCTGTACTCATGACTAGCTGTACTCATGACTAGTTGTACTCATGACTAGCTGTACTCATGACTAGCTGTACTCATGACTAGTCGTACTCATGAGTAGCTGTACTCATGACTAGTCGTACTCATGACTAGCTGTACTCATGACTAGTTGTACTCATGACTAGCTGTACTCCTGACTAGCTGTACTTATGACTAGCTTTACTCCTGACTGGCATCGTCTCCTTTATGTCTGGTTGAGTCACTGAACTGCTGCTGGTTTCTGGGCTGCAAATAAATGATTTATTCATCACAATGTGACACAGTTATTTATGATTGATTGGTGCAAAGTAGAAAGAGACTTTGTCCTCGGCCAAGCCGACAACAGGGCTTGTCCAGTGTGTGCTTTCTGTCCATCTGCAGCCGTGCAGTGTGCCATCTGGTGAGAGCCTCAATAGACTGCAGGAGAGTTCCCACTGCACAGTGAGGAAACAGCCCCAGTTCACCGTGTCCAAGGTTCAATTCATTAGAATACAATGACCTCAACCTTCTCCTTGGCTTTTAAAATCTCTTCATGGCTTTATAAGCTCAAGAGAAGACAGACACACAGGTAAATGCCCTTTATTCTTTCTTTTACAAAAGAAAACATGTTATGAACAAAACAAGGTTAAAGCAGCCATGTCTGGCTGCACAATCCTTAAAGTTCCCCTTTTCTTTGTACCTCCCTCCCTTTTCAACAATAAGGTCAAGAAGAGAGAAATGAATCTTCACTAAGACCATGTCCATATCCTATAATTTTACTGCTATTTTTCCTCTAGCCAAATGGCTCCGTCAATCAACAAGAGAATGTGTAGCAAACTCTACATTCTAATACAGGCCCCAGTGGAGAGGTAAGGTGGCTGCCAGGCCATGAGTGCAGTGTGGGAATTACTTGGGTTAGTGGCACTTTGCTCAGAACTAAATGCACAGCCAATCTAATGAATTTACTTAATGAATACACACTCATGTACAAACTACCTTCCTCTGTAGCCACTGTCTTACTTCCAGAGTAATTAAATGCAGTCTGAGACGTATTTACACCCAGACAATTTCAGTTAATTCTCCTTCCAAGAGTTTTATGACTTACAAATATGTAAGAAGGAGAAAGCAACAACTAAAGAAGTAAGCATCAAGGAGCAGCTCAGCTTTAGCAGCCCGGATGCTGGCTGGCTACAGTTTCCTTTGCTTCACAGAACCTGTTCTTGCACACGGTCCTGGCCGGGTCACATGGCTAGTGCTCAGCATTGCTCTCCCACACAGTGCTCATCCTAGCATCCCTTTGACTGCATGAACACACTTAAGTCTTGAGTTATGGACCTTACTTACCAGACACTCAGTACTCTCAGGCTCAGCTCTCGTTTTTCCTGATCATGTCCCTGAATATTCTACACACCCACTCCATATGACACACACACACAGACAGTCCTATCAGTGACCATGGTAGACATCACCATGACATGGCGAACCACACACAGACAGTCTATCAGTGACCATGGTGACACACCACACAGACAGTCCTATCAGTGACCATGGTGACACACACTGAGCACGTCCTATCAGTGACCATGGTGACACACACACACACAGACAGTCCTATCAGTGACCATGGTGACACACACACACACACCGACAGTCCTATCAGTGACAATGGTGACACACACACAGACAGTCCTATCAGTGACGACAGTGACACACAGAGACAGTCCTATCAGTGACGATGGTGACACACACACACACACAGACAGTCCTATCGGCAACAGTTTACGCTGTGCATGTGCCACTGTGTGGAAAGGGTACAAATAGGGTGTTCCCTTGGCCACATTAGTGTTTCACTCTAGAACCACCCGTGACCAAGAGTGACCAAGAGTGGAAAGGAGTGTCTGCACAAATCCACCTGGCACATTAGTGTTGTGTAAGTGTCATGAGACCTACGGTTTGGGTGCACAGACAAAGCAGACGTGGACAGAACCAGGCCATGAGTGATCCCTACAACCAGGGTCCACTCTGCATCTGTAGTGTGCGTAGTGTGTGGACTGCAATTACCAACAGAGCCAGTGTCATCTCAACAGGTGACAATCACAGGAGTCAGCTCTCTCTTTCCACCATGTAGGTCTCAGGGATTGAACTCAGGCCACCGAGATTGACAGGAAACAGGTTTACCCGCTAAGCGGTCACACTGGCCCCGAAGTGAGTGTTTGAAGTCTGCTACTTTTTCAAAGCCAAGAGTGTGTAACACTTGCAGAAGCAGCTGTGGCAAGGAAGGACTTGCTTTGAAACCAAAACCTCAGCACTCTACTTTTCTCAAGGTCACATGTGGCTCAAGTTCAACAGTAACTATAAAGGAACTCGGCTCCAACATTTGCACTAAACACTCTCAGACATTAGTGAAAATACCCTTTCTAGGAGTTAGGACAGATTAACCGTGTGGAGAGTATATGATGTAGGCCATTCTAATCTCCCCAAGTGGAGACCCTCCTTTACTCCCAACCAACACTGTCATTAGGAGGAGGAGTAGCAGTCTGCAGATGCCCTGGCCTTAAAGATCTGCAGACACACAGAGGGATGGAAGGGCCCAGATGATCACTGTCGACAGACACTTCATGATTGGCATGAAGATTAAATCAAAGCAAGCACTTTGCCTGGCAGAAAGAGCATGAACAAAATCAAGTCAATAACCTGAACACGCCTTTCAGTGTGTGTTCACAGGACCTGAGGTAAACCACAATGAAGGACATGCACTGATCAGAGAGGACACAGCGAGTGGGAACCCTGCAGTATGGTATCTTCTCCTTTCTCTACCTTTACAAAGCACACAAGGACCTGTTAAGTAACAAGATAACATTTATTAGGTAGATAGAAAAAAAGCAATTCTAGGTGTCAGCACTTGGACTGTTCTGGACCTTGTGTTTACAGGACGCACTCAGGGCTGACTCTGAGATGCAACAGTCAAGCGTGGGGCAGCTCTTCCACTTGGAGAAGGTGCTTGTCCTGAAGGCCCTTCTGGGCCAGCGTCTGAAAAGCAAACACACAGAGCATGTTCATAAGGAAAGTGAATTCTCACATGCTGCCCATCAAGCCCAGGGCCTGCACATGCTAGGTGAGCACATAACACTCTAGCTACACACTCAGTCCAAACTCATTTCTTAAAGTGATCGAATGAAATTTACCTAAGCTTAACACAGCAATAGTTCTTGGGATTTCAGGTTTTCCAACGTTCTTACAGAAAATACGAATCAAAACCTAACTGTAAGGTTTGAACAAGTAACAGTTTGTAGAAAATAAACATGATGCAAAGGGCAGTGCCTCAAATTAAGTCTTATTTAGATACCCTATGCATGACTGTATTAAGATACATTATAGCAAATACTACGCTATTTGTAAGTTAGTTATAGGCAGTGCTCTCACACAACCTGAAAATCTGTAAAGGGTCTGAGATCACAGGAGTCTGCAGTAGAAAGTGCAGGATTGGATCCAGTAAGTGTGGTTTGTGCCTCTAGAAGCAGAGGTGGTGAGCACTGGACAGACTCCAGGACAGCTGTCCTCTCACAGGGCTGTGTTGGTGAAGGAACGGAAGGCCTAGTGTGTCAGAGCTCAGCGAGAAGCTGCCCTGCTCCTTGGAGTGTCCCACCTCTTGGTTTACGTGTCTGCTTTCCTTTCCCTCTCCTGCTTCAGGGGCTGTGCAGGAGTGCAAACGCACAGTGTGGGCTTACCGTCTCCAGAAATTCTGTTTCTGCTTGGAGCACTTTCCAGGTGCTTTCCATTTCATCTTCGTTATAACGATCTAATTCCTGCTTAAGTCTGTTTTAAAGGAAAATCACTCCATTAATTTGATATTAAGCTTTCACAATAACTTTATTGTGTATAGAGTGGCAGGTTTTGTAGCCTCAAAAATATCAGAAAATATTAAGATCAGGCTAAAAACCAGAAATATATAGGAAATTTACTCTTCTCGGTCTCTATATGGACTATATAAAAATTTTAGAGGAAAACCCCCATAAAGAAAGAAAGGTAGGAAATGCATCACAGAAAATAAATTGTAGTATTGTAAGGTGTCCTTGTGGGTTAGTGTGACAGGGGCAGAAGCAGGCCTCCATAGAGAAGCTGAACGCACTGGGACTCGTTTGCTTCTCTGATCCTAACTCAAAATTAAGTTAAAAATTATTTGTGACATTTGCTTTTGCTCTAAAATTAAAGTTAACATATAGTAGTTATATAATTAAAATACACGAGACTGAGAGTTAAGCATCGGCGTTTACTTTTATCAATTGTGTACTGAATTTTGGAATACTTTACTGAGTAAAAAGGCCGTTTTTGTCTGAATTCGGTGTGGAAAGTAGAGAAGTGCTCTTTCATCTCAAGTATGATGACAAATGTTTTTATCCCCCAAAGAAAACCACCCCCAGAGCACTGACTGAGCTTTGTGAGGCACAGAGCACCAGAACCTGCCCCAGGCTGGCTTGTCTGAAGCAGCCCTGAGGGCAGACACTGCAAGCAAGGATGTGCGTGCAAAGCTAAGCAGCTGGGCAGGCGGGCGGCAAGACGATGTCCTCAAAGGGGTGGGGCTTCCATCGGCTCTGTTCCCTGCATGCCAACAAGAGCCACAGAAACCCCTCTTTGAGGGAAGCCTTAACATATTTAGACCTGTTGGTCGTCCACAGATGGAGAATAAATAACAATATGGCAAGAAAAAAAATCACCTAGCGCACCAGTGAGAATATCTAGTATACGTCTGCAGAGGCAGGAAGCAGATTATACCCGCAATACTAAGGGAAACACACACAAAATGGGCACAACATAAGCGTGACAGAATCTCTAACTCTTACCAGGCTATTTATAAAAGCTATCCAGTGTCTAATAGAGATATGAGATAGTGTCAGCTGTGTAACTAGTGACACGCCAAGGAAAACACAAGGGATGGTCAGGAAAGACGTCACAAGCTGTGGCACTCAGGAGACAGGCAGGCAGAGCTCTCAGTGTGCCAGGCCAGCTAGAGCTACATAGTAAGATCCAGTTCGGCAAGGAAAAGGAAAGAGGGGGAAGAGGAGAAAGAAATTGTCAGGGTCCTCCAGCCATCAACCGGAAACGGCTGCCTCACGTACTCATAAGAAAAGATGTTACTCAACCCTCACAGAGAGTATGTGACTCTGGACCACCCTGCTACCTGCCAAATTCCAGAAACAGACCTGCAGGTCATCTAGGGGGTAGGCTTGTACGATAGAAGGTGGAATGTGAAAGATAAAGTTAGAGTCTGCAGTCAGGTTACCAGAGGACACAGGATGCCCTACCCATCCCACTGACCTTCGTTCTGCCAGGCTCTTCGCAGCTGCAGCAGACCCCCATTCCTTCCCCTCCTCCCTTCCCCTATATAAATCCCTTTGGGATGAATACAGTTGTCGCCTTGATCAGACTCGTCTTGGCATCCGTCCTTGTGTCCCCTGCCCCCATCTTTTCCTAGGTGTCCACCAGACCCACGTTGAATGTCCTGCGGGTCAGGACAAGAAATAGGAATTCTAGTGCCCTAGCGCAGGAAAGCTTGTTCCTTTTTTTTTTTTTTTTACTTTTAAACCATGTCTTCATACTTAAGGTTTTGTGGGGTTTGGGGTCGGAAGCATTTACACCTGTATTACTCTGTGATATGAAAATCTCTTCTCTTTTAGCTGTCATGTTACAACGGATCACATTTAATATAGTTGTCTATATGGAGGGACTCAAAATACAGATTTTTTTCTAGTTGTTTTCTGTTTATCCTGTAGGTTCATCATTCTTTGCCTTCTTTTCAGTATATAATGGGGTTGCTTATTATCTCCTCTACAGACTTTTTTATTATACCTACTTTGAAATTTTTATACAGCTTACACTTGAGCTTATAACATAGACTCAACAGTTTTATCAAATAGTACAACACAATTGCACTTACAGAGAAGAATGTTACAGCAATAATTTTCAATTTCCCCTCAAATTTTTATTCTATTATCACACATTTCCCACATATTATGCATCTAAAGTATAGTGCTAATAGCTTTCTTTGCTATTTATCTTATAAAGTGACTTATAATCACAAGGGAACTTTCATATTTATTTACCTCTGCCCAGCTGTTTCTGGAACTTCACTTTCCTATTTGGAATCACGCCCTTCCCCCTGAAAACCGTGCTATAACCTTCCTCTGCTTACCCTGCATGCTTTCTCTTTAAATCTGTTTTTCAGAGATTTGATTATGTGTATAGAAGATGAGTTTCTTAAGAGGCTGCTTGGTGTTGTTTGAGGTCTTTGCATTATGTTTAAAAGTACTCTGTTATCTCTATAAAACTTTCTGCTGTTAATCTCAGATATGCAACGCTGTGGATAAAATCTCAAATGTACCAGGTTTACTTTAAAAATGGACTTCAGAGGATGCGTGACGTGATGTCATCCTCTTTATACAATGTGTTGGAAGACAGGACAACTGAAGTCATTCAGAGGTTTCCCAGTCTGACCAAAGGAATTTTCTTAACAAACAGGAGGCCCCTGTGCATTCTTCACCCCTCAATAGCTTCCTCACAGCACAACTCAGATCCAGGACCCCCCCAGAGTCCAGGCTGTAAGGACTCAGGCAATTACGCTGGCCTGCCCCTGTCACCTGGCAGACAGCATTCAGGCAGTACCTGGTCAGCCCAGGTGCAAAGGACCCCTTGAAAAGAAGACCTGTGTTCACTTACATTCTCTTTCTCTCCTTTTCCTGTCTTCCTCTTCTCTTCTGTCTGAAGGGTCCAGGCCCTCACCCAGCCCCCTGCGTTGGCAGCCATGACAGGCTGGAGAAAAGACCCAGCAAGACATAGGTCCCTGGCTCAGCAGCAACATGTGCTGAGCCCCCAACCCTCAACATTGACGGACCTTGTCGTAATCCCTAGGAAGTCAGATACCCTCCATGTGGCAAGGAACCAATCAGAAGTTAGCTGGCAGACTCTGGATGTGCTTTACTGATAACAACGGAATGCAGAGCATAGCAACCACCCTGGAAAGGCCTCTAGGCATGGCAAGTCCGCTGCAGCTGACCAATCAACACAGAACAGGTTGCCCAAGCCCATAGGTGCACCAATCCTGAGATTGTTGCTATGCAACTAGCAGACCCCCCAAACACTCCCCTTGCTCTACCCCACTGCCCCACTGCTGCTCCATCCGCTGTGTCTGATGGATGGGGTACCCCAGCTAACTGGGAAAATTAAAGACTCTTTGCTTTGGCATTGGATCGAGTCTATTGGTGATCTGGGGGATCAGAGTTTGAGCACAACAATAACATATTTAAGTAGGCTAATAAAAACATAAATTCAGCTGGAAAGAATGCCCCCATGTGAAATTGAGTAATCATTAGAAAGATGGCAAAGGGGCATAAAAGAGATGGAAACAAGTCGTGTCCTCCAGGACGAGAAGGTACCCTTCCCACACCTCTCCACTCACAGGCCGTGTCCCCCAGGACGAGAAGGTACCCTTCCCACACCTCTCCACTCACAGGTCCAGGCCTCATAGCTGGACAGACTGACACCAGAGAGTAGAAGGAAATTCTGAAAGCCAATGGCTTGCTTGCATATTATTTTGAATGGAAGGGTCTTTTTATGTTTTAAGCTAATGACTTTCTTTTGTCTCTCCAGTGCTCTTAACTAAAATTTCTTCCTTATTGTCTATAAAGTTTAAAACCTTTCCATGTAACTAACTATAGTAAAATGGGAAACATTTTCACCTTGTCTTGCTTTTAGAAAGTTTTAAAAACTGTATTACGAACAAGACATTTAGAAGTCAGATAATCCCAGATGATATAATTTAGTGTAGAGTACAAAACTAGGGACAGTGGCAACTTCTTCCTAAAGCAGCCCCAACATTATCTAACTCTCCTGATGATAAAATACACAACACAAAAACACCCAAAACAAAGGCAGCAGCATGCTGAGCGGGTGCTGCACACCGCCAATTAGGGTTTATTTACTCTGAGAGTCAGGACGCAGCTCAATATCACAGTTCTATGAACTGACCTGACTAATGCTCCCAAACATCTCTGCTTGGGTTCATAGACCTTAAATCCTATCTAGCACCTTCTCTGAGGCTCTAGGTTCTGTGAGTCAATAGATTAGCTTCTAAAATCAAGGTCTTAACCTATCTAATGCATTCACCAGTCTGCTAACTCGGAGACATAGACACCCTGTCCCCCTAGCTTAGACATCGACCCTCTGAAGTCTCAATGTAAGAAATATTTCTTTGGATTGTGGAATCTCCTATGCAAGCTCCTTCTAGTGCAATTGTCCAGTGTTATTGTGCTTCACATGAAAGCCTTAATACATCTCTTTATCGAAACTGGAAACAATCTTAATTATTTGAAACAAATATGATTGTTTTCTATGGTGTTAAAACCACTTTTGAAATACAAAAATTTATCCCTGATAAAAAAACATTGAAACAATATAGTTAATAAGAAACATTTTTATACAACAGACATTTATACCTGGTCCCATGTAAGAATCTTATTTGTTGGCTGAGGTCAGGGATAGGTACACTTGTCAATTAACTTTAGTTTTTTTTATGTTTTTTCCAGATCTTATGCCTTTATTTTCTCTACAATAATTTTAATGGTATGTACTAAAAGATTAAGAAATTATCTACAGAAAAATAACTAAATGCATAAGAGCTGGAAGAGAAAAAGAAAAAAGCTTCAGTTTTTCAGATGATACAACCATATATATGCAGTCAACGAAAATAAGCACAAAGAAAATAATTTAGAAAGTTGGCAAAATATAAAATTAGCATACCCAAATAAATAGACTTTATCATC